ATAATTAGGAGCAAAGAGTCATGATATTTAGAAAAAAATTTTGGAAACTTCAACAAGTAAAAAGTAGAAGCAAATATGATATTTGTTATTAAATCTAGGTAATAGGCATGTGAATCTCTGTGATTTTCCCTCTATATTTGAAATTTTCACAAAAGTTTAAGTTCTGGCTGGGGACATTGATTGGGTGGCTCAGGGTGTCAACAGCCTTGAGACTTGTAGTTGGCTCCCTCTGTGGGCACCAGCAGATGCCTCTGGTGCTACCTGTCCTGGCCCCTTTCTCTTTCATCCTCCGCAAGGCATCTCTTCCCAACCAGGTGACTCCTTGAGTGCCACAGTGACTTGAACCTGATGTCTGGGTCTTCCACGCCATTCCCCCCAGCTTCCTAGCTATAAATCTCCCCACCAGCCTCAAGGGTTACCATGTTAACCAGACTAACCATAACAGAAGCACTGCTCCAAGCACCCAGCCTGCATAAATATTGGAGGATCCCTCAATTTGGCCCAGCCTTTTAAGAGTATAATGGCAAATGTGGCTTCAACTTTGTCCCCCACAGTGCCATGTGCAATCACTCTTTTCTCTGTATGACACACATTTATGTCCCCAGCATGTAACTAGTCACTCTGGGGAGAAATTCCCTACCCACAAGAGCCCTAGCTCTGTGGTACCTCTGCATTGAGAAGCAGGGCAAGGAGTCGTTCACCCCTCCCATCCTGCACCCCAACCCATCCGTACTCTTGTCTGATTTTTAAGAGTGCTGGATTATAAATGTACCCCCAGGGCCTTCCTTGTCCCCAGGACTTATTTATACTGAAGTTTCCTGTTTGCCAAAAACATAAAATTAATTTAAAGGCTAGAAGTATCACTCAGTGGTAGGTGCCTAACATGCAGAAGGCCTCAGGTTTGATTTCCCAGTAGTGTCCATATATAAAGTGCATACCACTTTCTAATGCACAAGACTAAAAAATGCAGCAAGCAACACAAACAGAACTCTGAGAAACATGATTCCTAGCTTGTTAAAGAAACAATTTTGTTGCACTAAGCCTGTGCATGTTATAAAATGATCTCAGCTTGAACATTTCTAATTTCTTCCCCCTTAACACTCGTGTGTTTACCAGTAGTGGCACATGCTTATAATCCTAGAACTTGGGGGATAGAGGCAGAAGGACTGAGAATTTGAGGTCTACATAGCAAGACCCTGATCAAAAAACGAAACAAGAATTCACAGTCTTTGTAGAGTATCAACTTGAAGCACATGTGGTAATAGGAATTTCATAGTTACAGAGCTTGGATGAGTTGTGTGACCTTGGAGAAGTTACTTATATGAAGTAGTCTTAGTTTTGAGATGTCAGCACCATATAGGGTCAAACGAAGTGATGCAGGCAAATCTAGCACAGTGCTTCACATAGACGTGCATACCTAATGTAATCATAAACAGCAAAGTTACATTTCTGCCAGTGCGTTAGAGTTAATGCTTTCATCACTATTCTGCCCAGAATTCCTTATATTTGGTTATTCCCCTCATCTTCTAAAACCCTGGCCTCCCATGTGCTATTAAGTAATATGGTTTAAGGTTACTTACCTGAGGACCTGGTGCTCTCCATGTCTTATGTTCCAGCTATATTTGCCAGCACCAATATCTTCTCTGCTTGTTTGACTTCAAGAATGTTGATGATTGTGCTTCCCTGTTTCCCTTATAGGACAGCAGAACTGCACTGCACTGGGCATGCTCAGCTGGACATACAGAAATTGTTGAATTCTTGCTGCAGCTTGGGGTGCCAGTGAATGATAAAGATGATGTGAGTACTTGGCAAAATTGATAAACTCTGAGTTATCTTTAGACTGCAGCATGGTATTTACTGAAGCCTCAATATTAAACTCATAAACAATATTTTAACCCTTATTAATAGGTTATTATAGCATGAGGCTACTGGTTATACTATTTTACAGTGCTAATGAAACTGTTATTCATGGTAAAAATAGAGATCAGGGCTTATTACTATGAGCACTAAGAGACTGTGAAGTGTATTTCTTATGTTGAAATTTTGATGACTATTGTCTGAATAAAAAGGGCCTAAATATATGTTATATAGAGATATTTATTATAATGATATTGGTTATATTATGATTATTATAAGACTTGTGGGGGCCTGGAAAGATGGCTCAGCAGTTAAGAGTGATTACTGCTCTTACAGAAGAGTGCATTTTTTTTCCCAGCACTCATATTTGGGCAGCTCACAACTACCTATAACTCCAGGCTCAAGGGATCCAATGCCTGATTTGATTTGGCTTCTGCAGGCACCTCCATACATGTAGACACACATTCACATGCACGTGCGTGCATGCACACACACACACACCCAAACACACACAAATAAATAAAAAATAAAAATCTTTTAAAAGATAAGACATGAAAAATGAGACTGGAACCTGAAGGCAAAGATTAGGTTTTAGAGATGCTTACTGAAGTAATATAATAGAAAATAAAAATAATTTTATAGGAGAATGGTTGAATAAATTATGGAATACACACTTAGTAAATTAATGTGTGCTCAATAAGGTTAAAATTCCAAAGAATGATATATAGAAAAAATTTCACAATATAATGATAAGTAGAAATTGTGGAAAATGTACCTCACAAAACTTTATATCTTCTGATCACAATTTTTATTTAAAAATACTTTGTATGGGAAAAAACCTATTATAATTAGGCTGATAATATCATTATCCCTGTGTTATGGGATTGTGGTTATTTTTTCTTTAAATATTTTGTTTTATTTTTGTTGAAGTTTTTTTTTCTTTTTTTATACTTTTTATTGAGCTTTTGTAATTTCATACAAGAGTTCTTAATCAAATTTAGATCCCCTCCCCATTGTGTGTGGGGGAGGGGTATGCCATGTGTGTGCAGGTGCTCAAGGCAGCCAGAAAAGGGTGTTGGCATCCCTACAGCTGGAATTACAAGCTATTGTGAGCAACTTTGACATGGGTGCTGGGAACCAAACTTGGGTCCTCTGGAAGAGCAGCAAGCATTCTTAGCCACTGAGCCATTTCTCTTTATTTTTATTTCTTTTACATGCATTCTAGTTTTCAAATTTTCCACAGTGCTTAATGTAGTGGGAGGAGAATATTGCTAAATTACTCAGACATGACTCATGATAAGCCCTGGATAAGTGCTAATGTTGATACCTGCCCCTTTCTCCCTGGCTTTTGTATGACTCGTCCTATTTTTTTATACAGGCAGGTTGGTCTCCTCTTCATATTGCTGCTTCTGCTGGCCGAGATGAGATTGTAAAAGCCCTTCTCGTAAAAGGTGCACAAGTGAATGCTGTCAATCAAAATGGCTGTACCCCCCTCCATTATGCAGCTTCGAAAAACAGGCATGAGGTACGTTCCATTCCTGAGCTTTCCCTCTTGAGTTCTAAGCAAGTATACAAGCACAGATCGATCTCTGCACTGTTTTCCTGTCTGTCTTTTCAGATTGCTGTCATGTTACTAGAAGGTGGAGCTAATCCAGATGCCAAGGACCATTATGAGGCTACAGCAATGCACCGGGCAGCAGCCAAGGGTAACTTGAAGATGATTCATATCCTTCTGTACTACAAAGCATCCACAAACATCCAAGACACTGAGGGTAACACTCCTCTGTAAGTGACAAGTAGCAGTCATTTTTATTCTGCTTATAAATGCAATACATGCTAAAGGCAAAAAAATTGAAAGGCTGCCAAAACATAAAGACAGAAATAAAAACTGCCCATCATTTTGCTACCCCCCAAAAACCTGACTGGTATCATTTCTGTGTGTTTCCTTCCAGTTTTTATGCAAATATGTACATTTAGAATATATATTACCAAAATTGAGATCATACTGTATATGTAATTTGATGTTTTAATCTCAGCATATTATGAACATTTTCCAATGCCATTAAACACATTTAAAACATTTATGATGATTATATACAATTCCATTTTATGGATGTGCACAATTTAATCATTCCTATTACTATTTGTTTAAACAACTTGGAGCTTTTAACTATTTTAAATAATGCTGTGTTGACCAATTTTGTATGGAAACCTTTGGACCTATTGCTATTATTACCTTAATATAGATTCCTAGAAATTGAATTCTTGGCTCAACAAATACATATATTTCAAGAAAAATTGCTTCCAGAGGAGTTGTCTCATTGTACCCTTTCCATAGCATTTTAACAGTACAGTACCTATTTCCTTCCCCATCAACACTAAAATGATACTTCTATAATATGAAAGGTGATATTTCCTGGTTGAAATTTACATTTCATTACTGATTTTGAAGTTAATGCCTGTGGCAATTACACTTTATAAAATTGTAACTTTGTATAGCCTTTCTCTGTTTGCTTTTGGGGAATCGATTTATTTTTACTGGCTTAATGCGCTCTTGATTTCACATACTAAAAATACAAACTTTCAGGGGCTGGAGAAATAACTCAGTGGTTGAGTGCACCGGCTACTCTTGCAGAGGACCTGGGTTCAATTCCCAGCACCCAAGTGGTGGGCTAACAACCATCCATAACTCCAGTTCCAAGGAATCTGACACCCTCCTCTGGCCTCTGCGGGTGCACTTACATATATGCAGACAATACACTCATAGACATAAAATTAAAATAATAAGTCAAGGGGCTGGAGAGATGACTCAGTGGTTAAGAGCACTGACTGCTCTTGCAGAGGACCTGGATTTGATTCCCAGCACCCACATGGCAGCTATGAACCATCCTTAACTCCAGTTCCAGGGGAATCCGAAGCCCTCTTCTGACCTCCGCGGCAATGCAAGACACGAGTGCACTCACATTCATGCAGGCAATACACTCATACACATAAAATAAAAATAATAAATAAAATATTTTAAAAAATAGTAAGTCAAATATTACTTAAAAAATGAGCTTTCAGCCATGTTGGTTGAAAATATTTTTCCAGTTTGTCTACTCATTTTGTTCATAACTTTGCAATAACAGAAGTTATCAGTGACTTTGTAGTCAGACTTACTGTTTTCCTCATGTCTGGAAAGCTCTTTCTCATCCTGAAATTAATAAAGTAGTCACCTCTTATTTTATTGTATGTTTTAGGTTTCATTAGATTGTTTGAAAGTTATTGTTATCATTATGTATTTAACTCTTAAATCCATGTGAAATTGATTTATGTGAATGGCTTGAAGTCCTCCTTGACCTTGATAGGTTTTTCTTCTGGACCTTTTTGAACCAGAAATTCTGGGTCTTCTTTGTAGTCCAGAATGAGGTTCAACTTTTTCCTGATTGACTTTTAAGACCACTTTTAAGAAATATTGTTTTCTTAATTCTCAGTTTAAAAATCATTGCTGTAGTGACTGTGTTTTTTGAAAATGAATATTCTAGCCCATTTCTCCATAACTCAATAACTCGATGGTTTGGAGATTGTTCAGGAATTAGACACTAATTGGGTCCTTGAGAGAAAGTAGGATTTAGGAATAGCTAGACTATGTAAAGTACCTAACAGTTTGCCTGGCAAATTGAAAGTGCCTGACAGAGATTAGTGTCTTTTCCAGACAAGTTTACCATTGAACTATGCCATCATAACCAGGAACTTTAACCTCTATAACAATTTTTACTGTGAAACAGTGATAATTATACCTTGTTGATTACCATGTACATGTTGGAGATCAAATCTTTTCCATTGTTTCTCTGAAAGTCACACAAATTGTTATTAGCAGGTCATGAATCAAGAATTTCCTAAATTCTCACCCTGAATTATTATTATGTGAAGCGTTTGGAGTGAGTAAGCTACCACTAAGTCCATAGAATGAGGAAATTGTGCTTTAGGCTAGCATTTAGAGTCAATCATCTGTTTTAGTAGGACCAGGATTATGATTTATGATTTAGTATTACATAGCCATTCTGGTGAAGTTTAATTTACAGTCTTTCCCATGCAAATTGTTTTCCTTTCCTGATTGAGTAACTTTCCAATATTACTGCTGTGTAATGATAGGCCGTTTTCGACGACGTAGCAGCAAATCCTAACCACTACATAGAACTGGTAGTGATAAATTGATCTTTGTGTTCCTCAATTTCAGACACTTAGCCTGTGATGAGGAGAGAGTGGAAGAAGCAAAATTGCTGGTAACCCAAGGAGCAAGTATTTACATTGAGAATAAAGAAGAAAAGACACCCCTGCAAGTGGCCAAAGGCGGCCTGGGTTTAATACTCAAGAGAATGGTGGAAAGTTAAGCAGCTTGGATCTATTCTTTGTATGTTTTGTTGCCCTCAGTGTCCTGGAAACTGATGTTCTGTGCACAGGACAACTTGTATGAATGACAGGAGTTTTCTCACCTTCATAGTTTCATAAACATGTTGTATTGTTCCTGCTGAGGTAACTTGTTCTAAGCTGATGATCACTTTCCAGGCATTGAAAAATTGTCGAGGTTGTTCTCCTGTTGTCATTTACTCTCTATTGAGTCTTGGTTAATTTGGAGTAAGTGGTCCTGTGGCTGTTGTGAGTCTTCATCACCTTCCTGTGCACCTTCTGTACCCCTGTGGAGCAGAACAAGTCCAGGAACAACAGGGCAGTTGTTCTGTCAGATGGTTCTAGATGGACCCTGTGTATTCCACTGTGCAATTGAAATAAATTCTAACTTGTTTTTCAGGTTCACTCAGAAGATGCCAAATAGTTCTGTTTTTCAACTATGAGCTTAATTTATTTTTGTTACAGGAGGAAATTATATATTTTGGTGGACCAAATTTTAATCTGGAGGGTATGCTCTTAAAATAATGAAGAACAGTAGCCTGTGTGCCCATGTACCTTTTTGACTAGCCATTTTCCTCCAAAATAAGGTGTATCGTTTTTTAAAAAAATTAAAAGTGTCTATATTGGCTTACCTTGTATTGAAAAGAATGTCAAGCTTATTAAAGTATGTAACAAAAATATATTTTGACTTGTATTTCAAGAAGTAAAAAAATAAAATGTTTAAAGATTCTCCTAATTTCTCCTTCAAATCAGTTACACATTCATTTAAGCCTTAAAATTCAGAGTTCAGATATATTTCTCAGTTCAGGATAATTCGGAAGTCAATAAAATTAATGGAGCTTAAATTGCAACTAAAATCCATAAAAATAGTAATCTTTTGAATTGCCAATTGAATGTAGTGCAAAAGGAAATTAGTATATACTTGAGCTCAATTTAGTGTGAAAGGAAATTAGTAAGTATAAACTTGAGCTCAATTTAGGGAAGTACCTTACATGATTATTAATCAGCAACTGTAGTCCAACTGGGTCTTCAATTATTTTTACTTTAATTTTATGCTGCAAATATTGCTTGAAATAAGTGATCCAAGTAAATGCACAAACTTGCATTAATTAACGGCCCATAACTAAGAAGTTTTGTACACATGAACTGCATTGTTGGTATACAAAATCTATTGACATGAACATTCTGAATGTTATTTTTTTCAGAGTTTTGTAAATGAACAATTTCTGAGCTCAATGACAAAGTAAGTTCTCTTTTTTCTTTTTAATTTTTTAATTTTTTAATATATTGTATATTTTAATATAATTTCCTTTTTTAATTTTTATTTTATTGAGTTTTTGCTATTTTCATAAAATGTAGTTTGATGGTATTTAGATACCCCTCCCCATCCGCACCTCCCCCACTGTCCCCACCTAATTAATGTTCTTTCATATATATATATTACAGCCTATAGAGTCTGATTTGTGTCCCCAAATATCCTTCAGTGTGGGTCTATCCATTGGGCCACCAAGAGTTCCAGCCCTGTAAGACACTGTCTTCCCCTCTCCCAGCAGCCATCATTTGCCAAAAATTCCTTTGGTTGGCTTGGGATTCCTTACCCCCTTCCCCTATGTGTTATTCTTTATAAACATTAAAAGTGTCTTCTTATGAAATGAATCTTTGTTAAATAATGGTGGTGGAATTGATGACCTGGGATGTCATTTATTTCTGGTGTTTTTAGCATGATCAGAAAGTGTAGTCGTCTCATAGGGCTGGTGGGGCTAAAGGCCTTTGCTTTGTATACAGTTTTTAGAGTTCTCCAATAAGCAGTACAGATAGAACCAAGTCTCAGAAAATTGGTAGGCTCTTAATATTTCAATCATCGATATATATAAAGATATTAATGGTCTCAGACATTGATCAAATTGCTACCTGCTCCTATAGGAAGCCAGATATCAAATCTGATTCAAGGCCAACAGATCTTACAATAGCTTCCAAAATGAACTTAGAAAAGATGATGATTCAATTGTAAAGCTTACCTGAGAATATAAGATGGAAAACATAAGTTAATGGAAACTGGAAACTTTCAAAAACATTTTATTTGTCCTAATTGTGGTTTACTATAACTTTAGAATCACAGTGGTTATATTTCAGGAACCTGTAATGCAAGCGAAGCTGCTGTTCAGAACATTGTGCCCAGTATTTATGTCCCATCAAACTGTGCCACCCAAGCAGCAGACATGTCTGAGGGTACTGGGGTCGGGGTTGGGACACACAATGATATCACACAAAGGAAATATTAGGGGAGACTTGGCACTTGACAAGGCTGGCTCCTCTTTTCTGGGCTCAACTGTAGTTCTGCCCTCTGCCTGAGCAAAGGGCTGTTCTACATCCACCATAAGGGAGCCTAGAGCAGAAACATCTGTCTCCTCTAAGCACAGCCACCATCCCTACAGACCTCCAGTACGTCCTTTGAATTTCAATGATCTGTTAAGAAGTAACAGCATTCGTGAAGAATGTATTCCATAAGCGATTCCACAAGGCTCCTGATGCATCATTGAAGGCTGTTAGATGGTGTCCTAGAGCCAACACCACACATCCACAAGCCAGTGTCATTAATTGCTTCACCAAATGACCAAAACACTTTGCTGTCACTTTGTAACCGAGAGACGGATATGGCCTTCCAGTGCATCGAATCCAGTAGAAACCAGGACCATTGCCTGGTTCAAATTCTTTGGCCCCAGGCATCATGACAGTCAGTTTGAGAGGGAGAATCCATAAGGGCAGAAAGCTGAGAGCTCACATCAAGTATACACAGGCAGAAGCAGAGAGATATTTTTTATTTTAAGTTACAAGTGTATGTCTGTGTCTGAGTGTGGCTTTAGGCAAGGAAGTGCAGTGCTCTCAGAGGCTAAAGGATCTTCAGGTCCACTGGAGCTGGAGTTATAGGCAGTTGTGAGCTGCCTATTGTTAGTGCTGGAAATCAAACTCATATCCTTTGCAAGAATAGCACGCTCTTAACTGCTAAGCCATCTGTCGAGTCCTCAAACTGGAAAATTTTACATAAGTGGGTTTGGTGGGGGGTGTTTTGTTTTTTGTCTTTGAGACAGGGTCTTCCTGTAGCCCCAGCTGGCCTGGCACTTGCTATGGAGATCAGGCTGGCCTGGCTCATAGAGATCCGCCTGCTCTGCCTCCTGAGTGCTGGGACTTTAGGAAGGCATGTGCCACCACACCCGTCTACACACTTCAGTGGTTGTGTTACAGAGAATTTAACATTTCATTTAGGTTCTCTGAGACTTGAGGCACATTTATGTCTCACCATAGAATGTTTCAGCTTAGCTATCTATCTGACCATAATGTTTTGATTTCACAGTCCTACACCATCTACATCAATCACAATGTATTTCTTATTTGGTTGTATCTATTGTGGCTTGTTTCCCTTTTTTTTTTAATTATCAAGCACCAAAATCAGTCTGTTGACAAGTTTGCTATAGCATGAAAAGTTCTTTACTTTGGAGTCTACGGCTCTGGCTTCACAGTTCTATTGGCTGACTAAAATAGAATGAGAACTTTGTGCATTTTTCTGTGTTATTAGTTTTCATCAAAGGATCCATGATTCCCCAAAATGTTCCAGGAATGATAGGAAACGAAGCAAAACACTGAATTGTCAAGAGATATGGTTCAACAGTATAGGTCTACCACACTTTGTAAATACTTTTTTTACATCCATTCTTGCCATAGATTTTAAGACACAAATCATTTCCATTTTATAGGTAAGAAAACACCCACAGCTACAGAGACAGCCATTCATAAACTTTAGCTTTCCTAGAACCCAAACCATTTTTGTGCCTGTACTCAAATGCTGTGGACCAAGTGGAAGATACTGAGGCATTTTCATAATCATCCAGTAGTTCTAACACCTACCCTGTACTTTTCTTTAAATTAGCAGCGACAAATTTATTTAGTTTCATTCTTGGGTTCCTAACACATGATTTAGGAAGGGCCCTAAAACCCTTCTAATTTCCTAAGTAATAAGTTTTAAAAGTGTCTTATATGCAGTTCTTACAACCCTTTGGATTTCCTGGGTGATGTGACAGTGGATGTTGGTGGGTTCCTGGATACCTTAAGGGTAGGAGATGTTCACCAGAATGGCCAAACTATGATCAAAAGTTTGGAACGTGGGGACTGGAGATATGACTCAGCTCTTAACAGCAATGGCTGCTCTTGCAGAGGACCCAGATTCAATTCCCAGCATCCACATAATGGCTAACAGCCACAGTTCCAGGGGATCTGATGCCCACTTCTGACCTCTATGGGCATTGCATGACACTGGTGCACTTACATACATACATTCAATAAACTCATATACGTTAAATAAAAATAAAATATTTTTTAAAAAGCTTGGAACCTTCAGTTGCAACCTTGTTCTCTGTGAAACGGACTGGGTGGAAAGTTGAGTTAAGCTTACACATGAAGGCTCCATAAAAATCTAAGCTGGAGAGTTTGGCAGGCTTCCAAGTTAATGAATGCATCCACGTGCGAGGAGAATCATGATGCCCTGGCTCCATGGCAACAGAGATTCCTCTGCTCAATACCCTTCTGTATCTCTCCAGTTGGATGTTTATGTGTATCTTTTGCAGTGTTCTTTCTGATAAGCTGGCAAATGTAATTCAAATGTTTCCTTGAGTTCTGGAAGCTACCCTAGTAAGTTATTGAATCTGAGTAGGGAATTGTGAGGTATCTCATCTTGAATTCAGGTCACACAGAAGTGTAGACCTGGACAGTAATTACAACAGGTATCTAGTAGAGGCCACTTTTGTGGAGCTGAGCCCTTGATCTGTGGGGTCTATGCCAACACCAAGTAATGTCAGAATTGAATTCAATTATACAACACCCAGTTGGTGTCCACACAAAATTGTAGAATTGTTTGGCATGAAAAATCCACCCGTTTGGTTATCATATGTTTTGTGAGTAGAGGAACTGCTTTCCCTTTATTGACATTTTATCTTTTCTTAAATTTCCCAGAACCCTCGTCATTGTCTGCATTCTTTGATTTTAAACCATGCTTCAAAGACAAGTAGGATTATTAGATTTTTATTGATTGGTTTAAGTCCTTTTCAAGACCTATAACCTACTTTCGGGCATGTACACATTGCAAAATAAACTTTTGTTTTTGTTTTGCTTTTCAGACAGGCTTTCACTATCTAGCCTTGCCTGGCCTGGAAGTGATTATGTAGTCCAAGCTGGCTTTGAACTTGTGGCAGTCCTCCAGTCTCTGCCTCTTGAGTTCTGGATGGGATCACAGACATACACCACCATACTTGGCCTGTAAGACAAATTTATTACTAAAACTTTTTGTTGGTTTCATTGAAATTAGTAATTTGTTGCAGTTGAAAGAGCATTACACTTGAAACCAGCATTGAGGTCTAGTATTGAATTCATGTCATCTCATGCTATTTTACCTCTCTGGACTCAGAGACCCTTCTCTGGGATCTGAGTGTGAATATATAAGACCAAGTTTTTTTCAAAGTGGTTGCCCCTTCCTGTCTCCCACAATGGGAATGTAATTCTACATTATTCCCCAGCTTCAGCCTGTTGTTCTCAGGAGAGAATCACTGTATGTGTGCTGGAGTTGGAAAAGGTTGAGTCCTATTAAACTCAAAGCTTTCTTCTACCTCTGAAATACTGAAGGTTCATCAAACTTGAATCACACACAGGCCACTATAAAAGGCAAATAGTAGTTTCTTAGGA